GCCATACCTGTGGTTGCATTATAAAAGTAGCCAACTTTTATTGACAGTGAAAATTTAACATTTCTATTTTTCTATATTTCTTTTACTACAGCAACTACAAGATAACATCAAAAGGCCATAAGATACAGAAACGATATTACCAAGAAATTTACCATTAACTGGCTTGACTCAACAATGAAAACAAAAATCACCTTTTTTCTCCTTTCGTTATGGCTTAGCACAAACAGAATAAATTCTATGACAGAAACTATGCAAATGTGTGTCTATTTATTATTCTACCTACCGTGAATCTTTAAGTAGGAAAAAACCACTTTTGCTCTTTTTCACCCAGAAACCTGTTACATCCTGCTGACTCCGGCTTGGTCATAGAGACTCCAACCCAGGTGGCGCTGAAGGAATTAAGAAACAGAAAATAAAGTTAGAGTGCAAAAGTGGGATCAGAGTGGGACTGTCAGGGATCTGACAGCATTTCCCAGTTGACAGCCCAGAGCAGACTCTGACCCATGTATTTTTTGTGAACAAGTGCTTATTTTTAATAAGCAGGTGCTCAATGTTTCTTCATAGAATAAAGATAGACTAAACAGTCAGATAATGCCTATTCACTACTAAAATAAAAATAAGCTAGAAAGCACTCTGTGAGTCAGCAATGGGGACAAAGTCAAATATCCTGTGTTTTGGGAACTGGTTTAACTAGTGCATAACCAGAACATATTACGTACTTATTCTAGCAGTTTTTTGCCTGGGGATGGCTCGGTGTTCCTTGCCATCGCTTCTCAGCAAACAACATATTCTCCATCATACACGTCAGGACCTTCTCCCAGCAACATCCTAATCTGAAAACATTTAGATTCTTCAGATGCCCACGGCTATGCTGACTGATCCTGTCTCAAGAGAGGACACCAACAGCCACACCTCTCCAATAGTTCATGATTCCCCTGCCCTGTCTCTTCCAGGCTTTGGAATACCAAGTAGAAGAATTGCTAGGTAATTTACTCTCACAGACCCCAGATAGTCACTAGTATCCCTTCTACTTTAAAGAAATTGCTCAAACTGAGTTTTGGGTCATAGTACCATCAGGTACAAATGCTTCCTTGGTCCTGTATACACTGATCTACAGGATTTCTCTGTCCTTTGGGAAAACCCAAACTTGCTGCTCTATCTTCCCTGAAGCTGGGTATTTCTGGGTAAGATGTCCTTTCCTTAGTCTTCCCTCCCCTCCCACTCTTGCTGAGATGGGAGCACTTCACAGAGCATTACACATGGGTTAGGGATCCATCAGCCCACCTGGAGTTCAGTTAGGACCTCCATCACAAACCAAGGTGCTCCTGGGACTGGGGTGGAAGAGCCTCACCACAGAGGTCCAGAGTTTCCTATTTCAAACATCCATCAACTGAAGAAAAGATAAACAAAATGTGGTATATCCAAACAATGGAATATTATGCAGCCCTAAAAAGGAATGAAGCACTGACACTACCATAATATGATTGATCCTTGAAACCAATATGCTAAGTGAATACAGCCAGTCACAAACATTGGATATTTACATGTGTATTTGAAGCAGCCTCATTGTCTGGGGTAAATACCAAGGTTCTTGGTCTCATGGCCAAGAAGATCAAGGTCATGGACACACATACATACTCAAAGTGAGTTTGGAGCAGGAGTTTAACAGGCAAAAGGAAAGAACAGCTCTCCATCAGAGAAAGCGGTCCCAAACCTGTTGCCAAGTTGTAATAAGAATGTCAGGATTTTTATAAATGGGCTAGTGAGGTGGGAGCTTGTGAGGAGGGGACGTCTGATGTCTTATTCCCTTAGGGCTGGACAGGGTAATTGAGACCAGGTGTGCTATCTGTATAGAGCAGAGTGTTTTGTCAGCTTCCATCCCATTCCGTGCCCACATAGGAAGAATCTCAATCTGTGTCACTTTGTGATGCTTATCTGGGAAGGAGAATTTCTGTGTCTGTTCCCAGACATCTTGCAGCTGCAGGCATCCTCCTCCACTTCCCTATCTTAGTGTGCCTGAAGAGAAAAGAATGTGCTTATTAAGGCCTGCTGTTTTACTAGGGCCCATTGTATAAGTGTGAAGTTTGGTGATTACCCAGGAGACTTCACCTCTCCTTCTGTGCCCAAGATGCTGATCTGTGATTTACAGCCTCAACTTTCAGCCTGCTTGTTGTTAGAAGAGAAGTGATTTCTTTGAACTGCATGAAGTTAGAAAGGGGGCTATTTCTGAGCTGCGTTTTATTAAAAGGAAAGATTCCTTCTGGGGACTCGCTTTACCCTGTCTCCCTAAATAATTTCTTTCTGCCTCCTATAACATATTCATTTGTATGAAATGTCCAGAATAGAGACATCTCTTAAGATAGAAATTAGTTTAGTGGTTGTTTAGGCAGTAGAGGTAAGAGATAAAGAACTTGTGTTGGGGGTGGGAGAGTACTTTACAGCTAATGGGCACAGACTTTCTTCATGGTGAGATGAAACTAATTTTAAATTGACTCTAGTGATGGTCACACATATCTGTGAACATACTAAAAATCACTTAACTGTATGCTTGAAATGGATAAATTGTATGGTATGTGAATTATATATCAATAAAGCAGTTTAAAAATATACTGGGATAATTCTACCAGAAAATATAACCTGGGATAATTCTACCAGATTTCTCTCATCCTCATTGCCACTAACTCATTTTGGTTCCTTGTGCTCACTGGCCTGCCTATTGTTAATAATAATTTTTGAGCTATCTGCTGCTCAGGTGTACCAGTACCTTGCAGATCCAAGTTTTAGTCCTGATCAATTTTATTTATTTATTTATTCTTTCAGATGAAGTTTCACTCTTGTTGCCCAGGCTGGAGTGCAATGGCACGATCTTGGCTTACTGTAATCTCTGCCTCTCAGGTTCAAGTGATTCTCCTGCCTCAGCCTTCCAAGTAGCTGGGATTACAGGCACCCGCCACCACACCTGGTTAATTTTGTATTTATAGTAGAGATGGAATTTCACCACGTTGGTCAGGCTGGTCTCAAACTCCTGACCTCAGGTGATCCGCTCACCTCGACCTCCTAAAGTGCTGAGATTACACCACACCCAGCCCTAATCAGTTTTATTTTTGCAAGCTGTTGACACAATTCATCCCATAGGAGGTACAGGAGTAAAAGGCTTAAGTAAGAAGTGTGATAGATGAGTTAGGTTTTGGACAAGTACCATTTAAGATATCTGTCAAAAAGTTAAGGGAGACAGTTGCATAGTCTTCTACAGTGGTCTCAGTTTTTCTCCCTCCTTTTGACTTGCTGCCTTTCCTGTCTTAAGTTTCTTACTTAGAGCTTACAGTCTCTGTTAACAAAACAGATTGCATTGTAAAAGTTTCCTTTTCCCTTGGAACACTATATTATAATATTATGTGGTAAGCAAGGTACACAGTTGAAGAAAAGTGCTTTCTGATTACCTTTTCAAGACAAAGTTCCATTTTCTTGAATTCTCCATATTTGCAAAAATAATACTAAATATTAAAGCTTTCCTTTCTCTTTCCCGCACTGATTACGATGTACTATTATGAGAAAATACACAGTTGAAGAAAAGTCCTTCTTAATGGTCTTAGTAGGATCAACTCCATTTTCTTATATGCAAATTTATTTTGGACAAATAATTTTGTGTATTTATAGGGCACAGTGTGATGGTTCGATCTATGTATACATTATAGGATGCTTCAATTAAGCTAGTTAACATACCAATCATCTAATCAATTTATCATTTCTTTGTGGTGAGAATGTTGAAAGTAAATTTTAGTAATTTTGAAATACATGTTATTATTAACTGTGGTCACTATATAGTACATGAGATCACAACAACTTATTCTTCCAGTCTGCCTGACACTTTGTATCTTTAGAGTAATATTTTCCCTTTCCCATCCCTCCTCTCACCTTCCCCAGCCTCTGGTAATCACCTTTCTATAAGATTGACTTTATTAGATTCCATATACAGGTGAGATCATACAGTATTTGGCTTTCTGTGCCTGGCATATTTCCCTTAGAGTAATATTCTCTGGCTCCACCCCTGTTGTTGCAAATGAATTTCCTTTGTTAAGGCTGTATATTTATTCCATTGTGTATCTGTACCACACTTTCTTTATTCACTAATTCCTTATGGACAGTTAGGCTGATTCCATATCTTGGTATTGTGAATAATGGTGAAATTGTACCAGCATTAAAAAGTACAATTTTCTTGATTTTTTTCTTATTTGCAAAGATATTTAAGTCAGCAGTAGCATGTCGAAAATAGTAATAGGCTGGGCACAGTGGCTCATGCCTGAAATCTCAGCACTTTGGGAGGCCAAGGGGAGCGGATCACCTGAGGTAGGGAGTTCAAGACCAGCCTGATCAACACGGAGAAACCCTGTCTATACTAAAAATACAAAAAACTAGCTGGGCGTGTGGCGCACGCCTGTAATCCCAGCTACTCGGGAGGCTGAGGTAGGAGAATCGCTTGAGCCTGGAGGTGGAGGTTGTGGTGTGCTGAGATCATGCCATCGCACTCCAGCCTGGGCAACAAGAGAGAAACTCCGTCTCAAAAAAAAAAAAGGGGGGGGGGGGGGGGAGGGAGGGAAGGAAGGAAAGAAGAAGGAAAGAAGGAAGGAAGGAAATTGCTAGTATTAATAGCTAATAATAATAGCTGTTATTTCTCTTTTCCTCTTTCTCCGCCACCTTAGTAAATAAAACCTGCGATAAAACTGTGATACGGAGAAACAAAATTACCAAGAACCTCGCTAAAAAGGAAAATCAGGCTTAATGACCCCAATGTAACTACTGAGGGGTTTAAATAATGTAAACTTCTCTGCAACGAGTTTTGTGCAAATACCCATGCTTGCATCTGGCGTCTCCTCTCCTTGCCCTGCAGAAGTGGCCCAGCCCCCAGAGCTCCTCCACCCCCAGGGCCTTAGGGCAGCGCAGGGTCCTCCCATGGCCCAGGTGCCCGCTGGCCGAGAGCCTGCCCGCGAGCTCAGCGCTGCCCAACGGTCTCTGTCCTCAGCTGTGCTTCCCGCGCTCCGGCCGAGCCATGTTCCTTCTCCTTACCCTCCTAACTGAGCTTGGGAGGCTGCAAGCCCACCTAGGTGAGACCATGGGATCCTCCCCTTTCTTCTGCTTTAGAGCTGGGCTGGGCTCTTACCAAGAACAGTTTCCTGTCATTCTGGGAACCTCTCCCATTCCCTTCTGGGGATCCCACGCTGGTATTTCCGGTGTGTCAGGCACCCCTTCCCACACCAGGCCAGCGGAACCAAAAACCTTAGCAGAGGAGGTGTTCGCGTCTGCACCAGGGCCCATGGTCTCGGTGGCGCACAGGCAGAGCGTCTCCCGGATCTTCCCACCCGGTGAAGGAGGATGGAGGTGGTAGAGTACTAACTGCCTTCAACAACTCCTCAGAGTCCTGATGGAAGGAAGTCTAGCAGCAGTTCTAAAAGGGAACCGGACGGCCATGTAGAACTGCAATGCTTACTTTTTTTGTTGTTGTTTTTTTTGTGTCCTAGCCATTTTCAATGTGCTATTGAGTATGTGGTGAAATCTATGGACTAGAAAGAGTGTGAGCACATGCAAAAACGTTTACTGAAAATTTTAGACGCCGTCATGCAATCAGGGGTAAGAACCCATACTTGGCTGAGATGACGGTTAATGCAAAACAAAGAGGAAAACAAACACATTTTCTTACAGCAGGTTCTGAAGGAATATTTCTGCATGTCACAGTTCCACGCAAGATGATGTCAAATGAGAGTGAAGTTTCAGAGAGGAAGGTAAATGATGAAGAATATTCATTCTCTAAAAGATTTATGGCAATTTTTATTTACCCTCATTTTAAGTCAGATCATACTAATTTGTATTCGCTCCCAAATCATAATATTTTGCTTGTGCTGTTTTGTCTTCTGCCATGTTTTGATCCTCCAGTTCCTTCATTTCTGCTGCTTATTCCCTGTATCTTCTCTTTATCTCTTCTTAACATACTACTTGCTCACAATTTCCAAGAAATATTCAGCAAACTGGTAAGAAAAAAAATCAATATAAAACATACATGATCATGGTTTAGCCAACAAATTAACAAATTTTTTATTGTCCGCTAAATGACTTAGAAATTGGTCATAAGAAAAATTTAGACATGCAAAATATGACCTGCAATCATCAATCATAATAGCATGCAACATACAAAGAAATTTAAATAAAAAACAAAGAAAAAATAAAAATATCACATTGCTCTATTATGCTGAAAAATATTACAATAAATCAATATTAACCGGAAAAAGAAGTAGGAAAATTACCTGCTACATTAAAAAGTGATTACATTGAAAGCATTTAGTCTTGTATATTTTCTTGATTAAAATAGCTAAAATTGACATCGTTAAAATGTTTTATTTTACAAACTGGAAGTCACAATATAGGGATTTATATTTCTATGCAGGCAAAATGGGCACAATATAGGTCAACTCTGAAAATGTTTTCAGGTTGAAGGAGTGATTTTAAAATTATGAGTAAGGAAGAAATTAATCGATTAATTCTGTTTTGGCACACAATATTGCGACCATGGTCGTTTTACTAGTAACAATTATAACAAATAAAATACATGTTGAATTGTGTTTGTGAATCACAATAAAATAAATACTTTCCTTAGAGAAGTTGGAAAGGATTTTCATATATAAATCTTATTAATTATCATATTATCCTTCTGAAGTAGTATGTTAGTTACATATATTCTTTTGAAAAGACAGAGGATTAAAAAATATTAATGGCATAAAATCTGTGTCAGCATGTACAGTCTTTAATTTATAACTCCAATTCCACTACAGTAAGCTGCTTTCTGTTGAAAAATAATTTGCATAAGTTATTTTCTGCTGGGCACAGTGGCTCATGGCTGTAATCCCATCCCAACACTTTGAAATCCCAAGGTGGGAGGATAGCTTGAGCCAGGAGTTTGCTTGAGGCTGGCTTGGGCAAGTTGGTGAGACCCCATCTCTACAAAAATAACTGGGTGTGGTGGTGTGTGCCTGTAGTCCCAGCTGTTCTGGAGGCTGAGGCAGGAGTATTCCTTGAGCCCAGGTTTTGTAGGCTGCAGTCAGCTGTGATTGTGTCGCTGTACTCCAGCCTGGGTGACAGAGTGAGACTTCATTTCTTTAAAAAAAACTATGTGTGTGTGTGTGTTTGTGTGTGTGTGTGTGTATGTGTGTGTATTCTGTTTTTTTCCTGATTTACTACAGTTGTACACTGTCATTGCATAATCACTGTGAACTTTAAATTTCTTACTACTTGTGGTGGCTCAAGCCTGTAATCCCAGCACTTTGGGAGGCCGAGGCGGGTGGATCACGAGGTCAAGAGATCAAGACCATCCTGGTCAACATGGTGAAACCCCGTCTCTACTAA